TCAACCTTGGGTTCCCTATCACCAGCTTCCTTGTCCCCTTCTGCCTTCCGGCCCTTGTCACTGGACTACTGTACCTCATTAGTCCCGTTTGGTTTTACGGGGCTGTCCACTCCCAGGCTGAAGAGCTTATTTCTTTTAAGCCAAGCAGCACACACATAGTAAACCTCAAACTTAAGTGTTTGGAGTGCACTCTGGAGGTAGAGAATATTCTGGCCTTTGAAACCACATTTTCAGACCTTCCACAGCCCCTTTCTCCCTCAATAAAATAACGGAATGACTCTGCTTCATAGACATTAGAAAGTGGCTGACGCCGGGTCCTTGCCTGGTGGTGAGGCCTGACCCTGCCTGCTCCTATAGATGCTTCTCTGAGCTGCCTCAGTGGAGCCACAGAGGTAGGGTCTCCAGAGCTGCACAGATCCAGGTAGAAATTACAGCCAAGAAAACCCCGTGGGGCTCAGCTCTCTGTGACACACGGGGTTGCCATGAGTCAAAATCGACTTGACTGTAACAGGTTTTTTTCTTTTCTTCTTTTTTGTCAAGATAAAATGAAAAATATCGGCAGCAAGGAACAGCAGAGTTCTTTGGCCTTGGCAGGTGGTCAATAGATGTTAAAGTATATGTATGTTTTTTGAACCTTTCCTCCAGAATTTTGTGGCCAAAGCCATCGGATGTTTGGAAGGGATGGAATGAGGATGCACTGTTTGCCCTAGGTTTACTCACAGCTCTGAAGCACGTGCCTGATTTTATCCTTTGTAGAAAAAAAATGCCATTTGAATGTCTACAAGACATTTTCACAACATTTTCTCTTCTTTCCATCATGACTTAGATATCAAGTTTGCTTTGTTTTCAGGTGAGTTTGATCCTTGGGTCTGCTTTCTCTCTATTTAGAGAAAACAAGGTCTATCTGGGCCAGGTGTCCTTTTTAGTACTCCCCGATGCTATGGAGTGTGCTGTTTGTGGCTCACTCATTAACTCATTCTTCAAACACTCAGTGCCCGGGAACAGTGACACTTAAGCGTGCTTTTGCTTTCTGGTAGCATTCTCACCTTCCATGCCAGAGACCCGGGTTCGATCCCTGGCCAGTACACCTCATGCACAGCCACCGCCCGTCTGTCAGTGGAGGCTTGCGTGTTCCTATGATGCTGAACAGGTTTCAGCGAGCTTTCAGATTAAGACTAAGAAGAAAGGCCTGGAGATCTACTTCCAGAAATCGAAACGTGAAAACCACGTGGATCACAAAGGTCTAATCCACAACTGATCATGGAGATGGCACAGGACTGGGCAGCGTTCTGTTCCATTGTGCATGGGGTTGCCATGATTTGGGAGCCCACTTGACAGCAGCTAACAGCAGTAACAAGGGGAGGGCAGCCAGGTGCACACCTCTAAGACGATGTGTAAATTCCCTGACAGAGGCACAAACAAATAGGGAATGGCAGAAGAGGCTTGTACTCCGTGAGCCAAAGGTGTGCTTCATGGGAGATGTTGTACCTGGTGGGGCACTGTGGGGTCTGGTGGGCCAAGCACAGAGTTTGGGATCAAGAGACTGGGTTCAGTCCCAGGGCTGACACTGACTGCAGTCTGCAATCTCTTGGTGGCCTCAGTTTTCTTACACGTATGGTGTTGAGGGAGAGGGCTGGATATGATTATGGCATTCAAGCAAAAATCTATGAATCAGTCAGCTGCTTCAGAATCATCCCAGCAGCTTTAAAAAAAAATTAGAATTTTTTCTAATTCTGAATCTAATTCACCAGAAATTCTATATCTGGGACAGGTTCCTAGTGTCTGTATTTATACAAAGACTTCCAGGTAATAGGCAGCCTCTTTTGAGAATCCCTGGGTGACTTTTAAGTTCCTCTTTCTCCCTATAGTTCCATCCCTCATCCTTCACAACCTGATGGCATTTTAAACCAGTTGCCGTGGAGCTGACTCTGACTCATAGTGACTCCATGTGTGTTAGAGTAGAACTATGCTCCATAGGGTTTTCAATGGCTGATTTTTTGGGAAGTAAATCGCCAAGGTTTTTTTCAGAAGTGCCTCTGGATGGACTTGAATCTCCAACCTTTCTGTTAGCAGCCGAGTGCATTAACGGGACTCTGTCTCCTTCAGGAAGCCTTCTAGACTTCTGAGATCCTTTAGCCCTCCACAGAGAATTAGTTCGTCTCTGTGCCTACTCTTCCCAAAAATAAACAAACAAACAACAAAAAACAGCAACCTCAAACTCGTAGGTTTGTTCTTGTTTACTTTTCCATCTCTCCTTTGGTCTGGGAAACATCTGAAGGTAATGTTGGTACAGTGTTCATTTTTGCATCCTCTGTGCTCTACCCACAGGAGAGGGGTGAAACTGAAGATCAGCCACTTCCCCTGCGTGTTAGCACTTCGAAGACTTAAAGACTAAAAGAGACGTTTCCAATGAATTGCTCCAAGGTATTTGGAATTGCCTGTTGCCTATTGAATTACTGTGCTGGCCCATTTCTCCCAAATTTTATGGCAACTATATTCCATCCTTTAGTCCCAGGGTGGTGCAAACAGTTAACATGCTCGGCAGCTAACCAAAAAGTCAGAGGTTCCATTCCACTCAGAGGCACATCAGAAGAATGTCCTGGTGAGCTGCTTCTGAAAAAGCAGCCACTGAAAACCCTATGAGCACAGTTCTACTCTGATAGCACGTGGGGTCGCCATGAGTCAGAATCGACCTGACAGCAGCTGGTTGACTGGTTATATTCTATCCTTTAGCCTGAAGACCCCCAAAATGGACATAGCATCACTGACAGAAGTGAGTGGGATGAAGACAAGTTAGATGCTGACAGTTTAAACTCAGGTGTTTTGCAAATACCCAAAAAAACCTATTGCCGTCGAGTCAATTCCGACTCATAGCGACCCTACAGGACAGAGTAGAACTGCCCCAGAGGGTTTCCAAGGAGTAGCTGGTGGATTCGAGCTGTCGATCTTTTGGTTAGCAGCCAAGCTTTTAACCAGTGCATCACCAGGGCTCCTTTGCAAATACAAGTCCTTCCAGAACATTACTTGGTAGTCCTCTCTCTCTGCCTCCTCCCTTTCTCAATGGAAAAAGGCAACCAACCTTGTGTGTGCCCAAATCCTTCTTTGGATGGAACAGAGTCACACAGAGAAAAGGAAAGTTGATTTCCTGGCGTCCTCCTACTCACAGTTAAGAGTTCTGGGTGGCACCCTCCCACACTATTTGCATCACTGAGCTATGCACCCTGCCAAGACTGCATCTTAAATTTAAACACATTGTGATGAGGATAGAGAATGCCCGAGGAAGAGAGAGAACACTTCCCAATAAGAGTGCGTAAGCATGTACATCTTATGTCTTACTTCTGCTTTTGGATTAAGAACAGAATGTTAATTAAAAAGTAAACATCTCATCTTCTAAGCAGCAATTAATCTCTGTATTGCTCTTCTTTCATCTGTTGAATCTGTGAGTTTTAAAGAATATGAAGGGTGAGAAATATTTCCTAGGAGTCTTTCTAAAGTGCCTTAGCATTTGATGATTTTGATCTTTAGGCTACATGTTGACTTGTAAAAGAACCCCTTGTTATAACAGTAAACATGTTATCGCAAGGTTCTGGTTCCTGATTGTCATTTAGGTGACGCAGATGTGACGAAGCTCTGAGCATATCCATGGTTGTGAACTGGTTCCGCCCAAATCCCGTCTGGACTCTAACGTTCCATTTCGTTAAGACTGCAAAGAAGCAACATAACCGGATTCATTAGCGTGAATTCTGAAAGTGCCTCTTAGGAGTTATTTTCGTATTCATACAATTTTAATATTTGGGGACAGGCTGCACCAGTTTCCAGGTGCCAGAAGTGATCACTCATTTTTTTTATTAGGGACTATTTTAACTTCAAAAATATTTTATTTTTTATGGGCTGCTTTGTGCCTTTGACCCAGTTCTCTTTTCCCAGGGATGTGTGTCCTAAGAGGATGAGGTTTATGATAATAATACCTGGAAATTAAGTCCTTTTTAATGGATTCATTGTCCCCTGTCCTTTCTCAACACACACACATCCCTACTCCTTCCCCAGACACACATCCTTCATGTTGATGAAATGCCTGTGGAGTACGTATGGGGAAACTTATTTTTCTCCCTTTTTAATCGGCAGAAAGAATTCAAGGAGGTCTTAGGGACACTGCTGAGTACCCAAGGCCTCTGACTGCCAGACCCCTGCACTGTCATCCTCATCGCCCCTGTTAGCGGGACTTTCATGTTCATGGTGTATGTGCCATAAAAGAGAGACCACACGCCTTGCAGAAATGGGAGAGCTTGCCATTCCCAGAAGAAATTTGCCGTCAGCTGTCGTCTCCTCTGCCTATAATTTGCTACAGCCTGGAAATGAATAAGTGATGGCTATTAAAAGGGGCTTTAAAATAATTGCAGTTAAAAGGAAACATAACTATATTATAGACTACCACTGATACTCGTTCCTGCTCGTGAAAGGGCTGGATGTTTGGGGCCTATAAAATGTTTGCAAAATAGGCTCGTCAGTCATTTATTCTATGACTAGTCTAAAATATTCTTTATGCTTTTTACCATCTCACAGTAGTTTTTGGTTTTGCTGATATATGAGGGAAGGTGACATTATCTTGGAGTGAGCTGTGACGCATTTTCAGCATCGGCTGCTGCAGACCCAGGGTGAGGTGACTGGGGAGCTGTTTTCTTGGGAGATGTCAGAGTTCTACAACATGTGCTTTTCCCAGAGGGGGAGTGGGTGCTCTTGTTCTTGGCTAGGTGCCATCTTGCCGGTTATATGCTTTGTGTGAGTTTTAGTTTTAGAATGTGAAAAAGTCTCAGCCCCAAACATATCTTAAAACATGCCTACCCATCTCTCAAAGCCAGTGGTGGTTCAATAGTAGGATTTTCACCTTCCATGCAGGAGACCCAGGTTTTATTAATATTAATTATTAGTAATGTTATTAATATTATCCTAAATGCACTTCAGGCTCAGCCACCACCCATCTGTCAGTGGAGGCTCGTGTGTTGCTATGATGATAACCAGGTTTCAGAGGAGCTTCTGGACTAAGACAGAACCGAAGAAAGCTGTGGCAATCTACTTTTGAAAATCAGCCAGTGAAAACCTATGGATCATAATGGTCCAGTCCCATTGCACATGGGGTCACCATGAGTCCGGGGCCAACTCTTTAGCAGCAAACAACAACAACACACCTCTCAGCTAATCTAGCACATCATAGAGATGTCATTTTAGTCTGTAAATTGAGCTGCAGGATAGTTGTCCATGGTCATCAAAAGTTGTCATGTCCATTTGGGCAAACCACTTTGTTCCAAATAAATACATACCTTTGTTTTCTTGATGGACTAAAAGGGTTGAAATAGCTAAACCTGAGAGAGAATTCTCAATGCCATTCTTCCTTTGGAAAGTCACAGAGTCAACTCTATGTCCTTTTTCTCTATATTTGATGTCTAGATGCTAAATAATTGGAATCTAGTTTTCTAAAAAGGATCTTGATAGTCTGAATCACTATACTATCACTGTAGGGGGCTCAGTTTAGTGTTTGCAAAGGTTTGTCATTTTTCAGTAGAGGAGATACGACTCTTTCTAAGAGAATCGTGGAGATGAAGAGTTAATGTTTCTCAGAGTATGGCATTGAAGGTGAGTTCGGTATTAACGCTGGCTTTGAAAAGAATTAAATACTTATTTGTTCACTTTAATGTGTATTAGAAAAAGTATAACAGGCACATCAAACCTGTGACTCTACAGATTTTCTTGCTTAAGACCAGACTAAGGTAAAATGATTTTAAGAGAAATACTAAGTAAGTTCTAGGGCTGGAAGATGGTCTTTGAAGACCTGGAGTTTGGGAAGCGCTGATGTAACTAAGCCACAGCCTGCATTTTGCTTAGGCTGATACTGAGGCCTAGATTAGGACTGACTTGTCAAGGTCTACTTAGTGGTGACATTGAGACTAGAATTCAAACAAAGTGTGTTACTTTTATGACTTCTAGCAAGGACAGTTAACCTTTATTGAGTATTTTCTGTGTATGATGCAAAGTGATTTGTGTATGGTGTTTAACTTTATTCCCTTGAATTAACTACTGTTAATAGTCTTATTTTAGATAGATAATAAAACTGAAAGTTTAGAGGTTGAATAACTTGCCCAGGTCACACAACCAGAAAGAGGCAGAGTTGAATGAAAAGATGGATCACACATCTGTAGATCTTAGTTCAACGTGAATAGTTAACATCAAAGAAGACCTTGAAGAATGGATCCTTTTGATAGGAGATTAGAAGGGCCTTGGGAAGAAATATTTACTGAGAGCTTAAAAAGTGTGCTAAACTGCTAGACACCAGTGACTCAGAGACTTGTTCTGGAGATTGTTGTGACTTAGGTTTTGTAGCCTTGTAGGAGTGGTGCACCCTATATATCAGGTCCTGGGGAGAGTCTCTGCATTAGTATGTTACCCACTGAGATGCCTGCAGTCAAGAAATCTGTTTTCTTCTGCAAAATTCAGGTCTCTCAAACTTATTTAACCACAGGCTCCCTTTTCCCTCCAGTAACACCTAGTACATTTTTTTTGCAGAACCGTGGAGTACTCATTGGGACCTAACATAATTCTTCCAGCTCATTTTACATAGGAGAGATCAGAGGTTCATGATGACTTGGCCAAAGTCATAAGTAGCTGTTGGCAGAATTTGTTTCATTCACTAATTAGTTCATTCAACATGTATGTATTGAGTATCTCCCATGTGCCAGGTGTTCTGGGAACTGAGGGTACAGCGGTGAACAAATGGAAGAGACAAAGATAGAAGCAGATGCATAAATCATTTTAGTAGATGGCAAATCTATAAAGATTAGAAATCCTCACTTTTCCTGTATCTTCTCAAGACGGAGGGCATGCCTCTTTCTTCTTTGTTTTCCCAGTTTCTAGCAAGAACCACAAATACACCCTCAATAAATGTTTGTTGAATAAATAACAAGCTATTGATGATTTGGAATCTTTCCCGTTCCATCACAATGATTATTATCATTTAATGATAATATTATATAAAATATTGTTATTATTTTGTACTGGCTTTTACAAAATATTTGGATAATTGCCTATGTATTATGATGTGTCTTAGAAAAGTATAACATCAAAATTTCTTTCTTAGGATGAGACTAAGGTGAAATAATTTTAAGAGCAATATTAAATAAATAATAGGATGGAAGGTGGTCTTGGAAGAAGTAGAGTTAAATAATATAATAATTGTTATTGGTTTTGGTGTGTATTACTCTTTGGAAGCTACCATTCCTCTGTTAGTGGAGGCTTGGTGTGTTGCTATGATGTTGAACAGGTTTCAGAGGAGCTTCCAGACTAATACGGATTAGGAAGAAAGGTCTGGTGATCTACTTCTGAAAAGCAGCCAAGGAAAATATTATGGGTCACAGTGGTCTGACCTGTTGTAC